CCTGTACTCTGTACTCTGTACTCTGTACCCTGTACTCTGTACCAGCTGTACTCTGTACTCTGTACCAGCTGTACTCTGTACTCTGTACCAGCTGTACTCTGTACTCTGTACGAATAGAAAACTTGGAAGACTTGGGTCTAAAGGGGAAATTCCGCATATGTCCCCAAAGCCACAAATTTTCAGGCGATTTTCTATTGGTAAACTCTATAAATATGAAATAAATAATAAGACATTATTTTTCCCGTATTTTCCTCGTTTTTTTTGGAAAAATATGTTTTCTCGATTGGAGGCGCAAGCCTGGGTTCTCTTGTTTCCCACCTTTTTTCCTTTGAAAATTGAATTTGTGTTCCTCAGGCCCGTAGCTAGGTATTTTTCAAGGGGGGACACATGTTATGTTATATTGCCCTTTCCTTTTCCTCTTTTATACTTTCTTTTCCTTCCATTTCTCCTTTTCTTTCTCATTTGCTTTTCCCCTCCCCTTTCCCGTTACCCTCTTCCTATTTCCCTTTTTTTGCTCTTCCCCTTCCTTATTCCACATTCTCATCCAATCCTCTTCACCTTTGTGTTTTCCTCCCCCTTTCCTCTTTCCCTTTTCTCTGTTACCTTTCCTCTTTCCCATCCCCATTCCCTTCACCATTCCATTTTACTCCCTTTTACTTCACCTTTTCGTTCCCCTTTCCCTTCACTTTCCCTTCCCCTTCCCTTCTCCTTTCCCACTTTCCATTCCTTTTTTCTTTTGCTTTGTCCCCTTTACCTTCCGTTTTCCCCATGCTCTGTCCCCTTTGCCTTCCTCTTTCCCTTCCCCTTTTCCCCTTTCCTTTTCTTTCCTCTTTTCATTTCCCTTCCCCTTTCCTTTATCTCCTTTCCCATCCCCTTTCCCTTAGCCTTTCTCTTCCCCTATCTCATCCCTTTCTCCTTTCCCTTCCCCTTCAATTCATATTTCCCCTTTCCCACCCCCATTCCTTTACCTTCCCCCTTCCCTCCCCTTTTCCCTTCCTCTTTCCTCTTTCCTCTTTCCCCTTTCACATCTACCTTTAATTTTTCCACCCCATTTCCGTTTCCTAGCCCCTATATCCCCTTTCTCATGGGATGGGGGAGGAAAAGGAAACCTGCATAGACTTCACTGATCACTTCTTTTATTGCAGCAAATCCTTTTAATTTAAAACAGACAATAAAGGAAAATAAATAATATATGATTCTAGGAGTAGTGTCATGCAAAATTTAGACTTGAGATCCACCCTTTTTACATGTGAAATATAACAGGACTTTTTAGGTTTATGCTGACAATTAAACGGTTGAACGTTTCAAGTTATTCTTTTTTTTAATATTTTCCCAATTTTTATGGCATTTATCTTTATGTATAAAAAAAATTTAGCAATTAATTATAACTAAAGTCCGGACGCCTACCGTGTTTTGTCAAGGTCGGCTGGGAGCGGACTCTTCTCTGTCGTACACAAGATCAATATAACGCTCACAAATATTATTAGTTTCTATAATGTACTAAGTACTTTGAAACTATTGTCGGCAAATATCATCAACTACGATAACTGTGATTTCACGACGTTACACAATATAAGACATAAGAAAAAATGACTGAAGTTATTTTGAAAATTCATCAACTTACAAAATCTCCATTGTTAATTTATCTAAGAGATAATATAAACTTTCTAATCTCTAAATGGTTCGTTAAGTATTAGCATAAAAAATCATGCAAAAACAGCAGAGATTTTCAAAATATGGGGTCCGTTCTAGTATACGATTTTTTGACCCCCTCCCCCTCAGTTTTGTACATGAACACTAATTTTTCAAAAGAAATAATATTATTTAATTTTTATCATTTTAGGATTAGGTTAGGATAAGACTATTTCTGGGTCGAGCGCTGCGGCTAGGACAGGCTAGGGGGCCGAGCGCTGCAGCCTCTTTAATGTTGATTCCCATGTAGTCTATCACCTTCTTTCTGTATCTACAGTCTATTTCTGGGTATAGCGCTGCGGCTAGGACAGGCTAAGGGGCCAAGCGCCGCGGCTAGGACAGGCTAGGGGGCCGGGCGCTGCGGCCGCATGATTATAGATATATCGTTCTCTAGGACAGACCCCAAGGTTAAATTGAATATATTTGAAATCTAAGAGATGTCCTTAAATACCTGTGAACTGCCTACAGTTCAAAATTACAATGTGATCCCCCGTCAGGTTTTGGAAGGAAGTTTTTTTTATTTTTGTTTAATTTTAATTTGATCATTTTTACAGAGTGAATAAGTTTGATTAACTTGGTATCTGGCTGTCCTGACTCCTGTCCACCGAAATTCTTCTTCTATATATAGTTATCACTAAAATATGGCCTACGGAAACGAAAATAGGTAAAAAAACTTGCGTAAAAATCTAGATTTTATTTGTTATTTATTGTTATATGTCTCTTATTTTAGGAAAGTCTTACCTTGTAGATTGACTTTTTGTTTTTGTCATTTTTAGGTCTGGAGGATACGGTGGCGGTAGATCCTATGGTGGAGGGAGGGGAAGGGGATCTAGTGGAGGATATAGCGGAAGCCAAGGGGGTCGTGGTGGAGGTGGTTATGGTGGAGGAGGATATGGCGAAGGAGGTTATGGTGGAGGTGGAGGAGGATACGGTGGCCGAGGAGGATATAGTGGTGGGGGTGGAGCTAGCAGATATGGGGGAGACTCTGGAAGAGGAGGAAAATTTGAAAATCCTGGACAAAACTTGAGGGCCGTAAACTGGGGTAGTCATACTCTCTCTACACTAAAAAAAGACTTCTACACACCCTCTTCAAGTGTTACCAACAGGTAATGCAGAAAGAGGTGGGTGGGGGTGGCGGAAGTTGATTTAGTTATTACCTGGTCTGCAGGGTACATAAACTCCCAATTTCTCTGGTAAATCTTTGTATCCCTTGTGTTTGTTTCCTAAGCTTCTCTAAAGTCAAAATAGTACTTAGAAACCTGGTTTCAGTGACGATTGTAAAAAAAATTGGTTGGCAATATATTAAAGTTTATCAAAAGAGCAATCTTGAAATACTTAATTTGAAAACGTGCTGTGTACAGTGCAGTGGCTTGAGAAGCATCTTCAGTAAAACATTATGAAGAGGTTCTGATGAGATTTTTAAAAAAAAATACTTTTTAGCGCCCACCCCCCCATACAGTTTTTTATTGAAATTCGCCTTGAAACTTTTGATTTTATTAGGTCTGCTGCAGATGTAACCAAGTATAGAATTGAAAAGGAAATCACAATAGTGCAAGGAGCAGAACATGTCGGGAATCCAATTATTAGCTTTCTAGAGGGTGGTTTCCCAGAATACCTTCTGCAAACCTTTGAAAAGGAAAAGTATACAGAACCAACTCCCATTCAAGCCCAAGGATGGCCAATTGCTCTTTCAGGTGAGTGAACTGGCCGTGAAATGTTTGAAAGTGCTATGAAACTCTCAATAAATATCCCAGTCTAACCAATTCAGTTCTGTACAACCATTATTGGCGTGTTTTATATAATTAGAAGCATGCAATTCATTCCAAAGGGGCCTAGGGTATGGTTACTTATAAATTATATTCTAAGATAATATAAGTTCATGATAAAAATTTATAATTGCATTTCATAGAACTAAAATGTTAAAAAATGTTTTTTTTTTAAGGTCGTGATCTGGTCGCAATCGCGAAAACTGGATCCGGAAAGACTCTAGGTTATCTTCTTCCAGGAATAATTCACACAATGAATCAGGGATATCTGGAGAGAGGAGATGGACCTATTGTCCTGGTATTAGCGCCTACTAGAGAGCTTGCCCAACAGATACAGGCTCAGGCAGTTAAATTCGGGGAAGCATGTAAGCTTAGAACAGCCTGTCTTTTTGGCGGAGCTCCTAAGGGCCGACAGATTGGAGACCTGGAGCGCGGTGCTGAAATTTGTGTTGCTACTCCTGGGAGACTTATAGATATCCTTGAGGTAAATGGATACAAAAAGTGTAATCGGATACTGGAGTGGATAGTACAGAGAGAAGGGGGGGGGGGATTTGGTTTGGTTTGGTTTGGTTTGGTGCTCTTTTTTCTAATGATAAAATATTTGTAAAACTAGTAATTATCGAAGAATAATTATTTACATTTACTATAGAGGGAAGTTAAATCGAAGAAGTAGCGTTTTTCACCAAAACTTCACAGGGAGGGATGTTATCATGTTATTTTACTTAATTGTCCCAGGGGGGATAGTTAAGTATCTGAACATCCCGCTGTTTTGGGAATTATGATTTGGTAATGTTGGTCAATAATCACAAGGTGATAAAATATACTACCCTGTTCATGTGGATATGTGTAAACATAAACAGAAAACCCATTTTTTCATGTGAGTTATTTTTTTTTTCAGATGGGAAAAACTAATTTCCGACGTTGCTCTTATGTAATTCTGGATGAAGCTGATCGTATGCTGGATATGGGGTTCGAACCCCAGATCAGAAAGATTCTCGGTCAGATTCGGCCTGACCGACAGATGCTAATGTGGTCTGCTACTTGGCCCAAGGAGGTGAAAAAGCTGGCTACAGATTTTATGGGAGGAAACAAGTTCATACATCTGAACATAGGATCCGAGTTCCTCTCCGCCAATCATAATATTTTACAGATAGTCGATGTTTGCCAGGCAAGTTTGTTTTGACACTAAAATTATCTTGTGCATCTTGCAGCTCTTTAAAAGACTAAATTGTTTGAAAGCCTTGTTGACAGTTTCATTGCTAAATATTTGACAGAAATACTTTTAAAAACTAAATTTAAATTTATTAAATGGCTAGGAGTGGCAGAAGGAGGATAAACTCGGCCGGTTACTTGAAGAAATGGCTAGTGATTCTAGAGCTAAGGTTCTTGTTTTCGCTGAAACCAAGAAGAAGTGTGATGAGCTAACCAGAACCATGAGAAAGAACGGCTACCCGGCGATGTGCATTCACGGAGATAAGAAACAGGAAGAGAGAGACTGGGTTCTGGGAGAGTTTAGATCCGGGAGAACACAAATTCTAGTCGCAACTGATGTCGCTGCCCGAGGCTTAGGTAATTTATAAACTATCAGCCCCTCTTCCCGCACATATTTCCCTCTTCGTTTTGCGTATGTAATTAGTATTTGTCGAAGTGTTACTGGTAATTTGGCACAATTTATAAGTGTGATTAAAAGTATGAAATAAGAATTTTAAATTAAGCAACCTTTGCAGACTACAAATGGATAATTTAAAAATTCTATTTTCGTATTATCCTGATCCTTTTTTTCTTGTGAAATTAGGAAAATTAATTGTGTTTTTGAAGAAGGATAACACATTTTTTCTCTTCGTTATAAATAATTTCGTCTTTATTCTTATTCTTATTAATTGTTCTGCATTTCTATATTATGTGGAAATTAGATCGATTTTATTTTAAAGAATAGTTTATATGAAACTAACAAATAGCTTGAAAGTTTAAATCCCACATATTTCCAAAGCCTTTAACCAAGTTTTTCCCTACATTTTTCAAAAGAAATATTTTGTTAACTTGTTGACTAGTATTTTTGATTGCACGATTTTGAAGTTTTCTGTCTTTCAGATATCCACTTCCTTTGATTTGACTGCCTCCTGTTAATAATTCTAATTAATCCAAACCTAAGACTATTAATTTTAGATTTCGCAGATTTTTCTGTTTTCCTTTTTTAGAGATTTTGAGGCATTTTTTTCAAGTTCACCGTCCTAAACCCTTCCCTGGATCTGGTTTTGTAAGATGTCAAAAAAAAATTATGTTTATTTGATCCCAAGAAACCAATGAACAGAAAGCAATTTTTAACACGGCAAGAAAAAAAATGTGTGATTAGTGTCGTATTGAGCAATATCAAACTCGTCTGTGTAAATCACTTTTTTGATATATTTAAAAAATAGATAATGTTTAATATTTTTTTTTTGGGGGGGGGGCCGTGCATGAGAAAAAAAATCACGTAACTACTTATATCTCAGAACCCAACTTAAAGCAGAAATAGATAAATATATTATCTTAATTAATCCTATAATTTCATGAACATTGGATGCATGAAAATGATAAAAATCCACCTAATATACGTAATAAATTCATATTTTTAATAATTTGCAACTGTTAACTGTGTTGTTATTGCCGAATAAACAATAAATTGGATGATTATCATATTTTCCTATTTTCTAGATGTGGATGATATAAAATTTGTGGTTAACTACGACTACCCGATGCAGGACGAAGACTATATTCACAGGTTTACTTTACTTAAAAATTGTACGACGACTTAATAGTATATTATGCGTAGGAAGAAAGTGTAATAATCAAAATTATTGTTATAATATTGAAAGAAAAACCATGGAACAATTTTGATTATTCACCGAAAGGCGCAGTGCAGAAAATCCGTGGAATAATCAAAATTATTCCACGGTTTTTCTTCCAAAATTATCACACTAATTTTGATTATTACACTGGATTTACAACTTAGCCAAATCAGGAATAATTCTTATTATTCGCACCCATTTCGCGTAAAGGTGGTATAATATCATTATGCGTAGGAAGAAAGTGTAATAATCAAAATTAGTGTTATAATATTGGAAGAAAACCCGTGGAATAATTTTGATTATTCCACGGCTTTTCTGCGCTGCGCCTTTCAGTGAATAATCAAAATTATTCCACGGTTTTTCTTTCAATATTATAAGAATAATTTTGATTATTACACTTTCTTCCTACGCATAATATACTAATTGCGGATCATTAGACCTGATATATTTTATTTAGAGAAAAGGTAGCAATTTTGCAGAAAAAAATCGACTATTAATTAAGCAGGGAATTTTTGAGATTTACAAATTGAACATCTTGAATTTAATCTTAGTTTTGAAAAAATCATTAAATATTCTCCAAGTCCAGACATTTTCAAAATGTGGTCTGCCCTTTTTAAAAGTTATTGGAGAATTTTTTAAAGATTTTAATTTGGTATAAAGAGGATCCAAAATTGTTATAAAATTTTATATTGTTTTTTTTTACTGATAAAGATAAGAGCAAAAATGAAATGTCGTAATTCGTAAAGTCTAAGTCAAATTGTCCAGTGCCCAAAATGAGATAATTAAAACACATGAAGGTATTAATTAATATATAAACTTCTTAGTCAATTTTAACGGAAAATATAAGATCAATACGAGGGGTTAGATTTGGTGAAGAATTTATTGAATTTCGGGGCTGGAGACTAGGACTAGCACCGCGGCAACGAAAATTTATAAATTTAGTTTATTCTTACGACAGGGTGGTGAAGTCAAATTTAAAACCCAGAAATACAATTTTAGTGTCTAAAACCCTTTGAACCCCCATAACCAATTTAGCGCTTACTTTTTAAGAGCGTCAAGAAAAACAGTTCATTTAAGTTTTAAAATATTTCAAGATACCTTATTTTTTTATAGAAAAAGTCCTTTGCTCTATGTTTAGTCTCCCCAAACAAAAATTATCGATAATTCAATATTTCATTTACGATTTAGGTTTGACAGTCGGATGCTTGTATTAGTTCCATTTTTATTCATAAGATGATCTTATTTTTGCAGTGAACTCAAGGTTAATTTTAGGATTGGAAGAACTGGCAGACGGGATAAAAGTGGAACTGCGTACACATTCTTCACTGAAAAAAATCAGAAGAGCGCGTCCCAACTTGTTCAAATCCTGCAGGAAGCAAAACAGGTTTGTAAATATGTATTTATTTATCTCCTTGCAATCTGTTTGAGCCCTTTCGTTCCCATTTTATATATTTTGATGATAATGTTCTAGGAGATGTTGTTTGTCTGTACTGTGTAAATTATCCCAAGATCATATTTCAAAACATTGGAGAAAATATTAGTTTTTGTAGGCTCGTAATTGAATAACATTATTATTCTGATATTGGGCAGTGACTCTTTCAGCAACCAAAAAAAATCAGTTTAGAGATGAAAAACAATTTAAAATATATTATCTCGGAATTTACATGCGGGGTCTCATTTTCAGGGAAAAAAACTCCAATTGGAAGTGCTGACATCTGCTTTACTTTCTTAAATTAAATATAGATATATATATATATATATGTTAATATTACAGGATAAATATATTCCGAAAAATTTCCCCTACCTGCGTTGGATTAAATGAAAACTTTTGTGAATAAAGTCTTAAAAACCCTTTGCATTTATTAATCTGAGCTGGAAACTTTAGAATGGTGGATATCGGGATTAATGCTTGATCGACTCTTTTTCTTAATCTCCAGTTTAAGTATGGCTTGTTCTCCTCATGTTATTAATCTCCAGAGCTGAAAACTTTAGAATGTGATATCCTTAATCCCGACCTATTAATTATTCTGGAGATTAAATTCTTGAGGAAAACATCAATATTTAATCTGGAGATTAAGAAAATGAGTGGATCAAGCATTAATCCCGATATCCACCATTCTAAAGTTTCCAGCTCAGATTAATTAACCGATCGGGATTAAGGATATCCCATTCTAAAGTTTTCAGCTCTGGACATTTCTACCGACATTTAAATTTTATTTGTATTCCATTTTACGTGGTTCGGTGCACTCGTAAAGTAATTTCTATATTGTAGGTTGTGAATCCTCAGCTGATGGAGCTGGAGATTATGTCCAAGATGTTCCAAGGCAAATCCTTTGGTGGTGGTAGGAAAGGAGGAAGATGGTAAAGTTTGAAGGCAGCTGGATAATTTGTTAATAAGAATCAAATAGATCTGATTCTAGGAAATTTTTAGTGTATTGTTTTCACCCATAACATCGGTTTAAATCTTTTATGTTGTTATTAATACTTTATCAACATTGCATTTAAAACGAACATATTGAATATTTTGAATCCAGTTTTGTTTTGACTTTGATTTTTTAAGATATAAATAAAGCACAGTTACTCTACTATTTCTTCCGTACGGCAAGTAACTAGCTTAAGTTTGAGCTGTAATCAATATCAGAACATTGAAACAAGACAGTCCTTGACTTAGAACGATGATAAATTTTAAAAAAATGTGTCAAAATTTTGAGCCTATTATTTTGTTACAGAATTGGTTATTTTTCACGGTTACAAGTCAAGACTCATATATTACTGAAAATATTCAGAAGTTTGGACTTAAGTTGTGAATCAAGGATCAAGCATTAATCTCCTTCATATTTAAGCTTTGGGGTTTATTTAATTCATATTCAATATCCAGTGGTCTCTCCCTGCAAGAATAACTTTAATTAATTGATCCTCGAATCAAAAGTTTGAAATCCGAGATCAAGCGTTCAACATTAACGATATTCCAATCAAAAGTTCTGATCTTAGGGCACACATTTAAGAATTAAATACAGTGTTTCCTACTTAAATATGCAAATGCTTAATTTTACTTTGGAATTGAAATAATTGTCTAAAAGATTACCAATATGGAACCAAATATAACTTGAAAACTGTGAAAAATTACTCTTATCTGGCAACAATAAATGTTATACAATAACAATAACATAACTGGCGGCGTGCTAATATCCAGTTGGTACTTTGTAGTTCATCCTACCACAAATTTTACATGTTGTATATCGATTTATAGGTTATTGTACCTGAGGATTATATTCAGGGACAGTAGTTTCCTTTTGGATCATACCACTACAATGTAACAAGTGTGCCGATCAGAGTGTGCTATAACCTGAATTCGACATACATGTAAAATCTGTGGTGGGATGACCCAAAAGGTAACTGCTGGCTACTAGCGATCGCGATCGAGTGCTTTATTGCTTTATCATGATATTTAGTGCATATTTGTTTTAAAAGTGACCTGATAAAAATTCAAGTTCAAGGAGTGATGTTAGGAATGCAAAACTGTGAAGAAAAAACGATTTTTTAGAAAAAGTATTTGCGCATTTTTTTCGGATCTCTCTTAACTGAGAAATGCATGTACAAATACATATTTTTGAGTTTATGCAAAAATAACTTTTCTGTGAAAAAAAATTCTCCCGCATTTTGTCCAATTTATTTCCTGATGACAAATTTTTGCTTATCTCATAAAATAAAGAAAGACCAAAAATAATTTTGCTGCAAAAAAATACGCCAGTTTAAAAATAATTTTTTTCGCCATTACAAGGCATGAAAACTGAAATTTGATTTGGGGGGCTAGGATAAATTGTACAAAGTCAAAAAGATCCATGCTTTTTTGGTGGAATTTTGCAACTATTTTTGTTGCCTTTTTTCCATGCGCTGGGTGTCTAATGTCACTCAATTATGGTCGGAGATTTAATTTTTTGCCTTAAAAAGGGTCTGAATGAATACTTCACTTTTCATTGCATAATGCATTATTGTCGCAATCTATTTTCCTTTGGAAGGGGTTGGAATATTAAGTGGTTTTTTTCAACTCAAATCCCCTGTCATTTATATAATGAAGCTCTGTGCGCATATATGTATATATATTTTTATATATTTCAGTTTTTAACTTCACATTTTTTATTTAAAAAGAATTATACTAAACATAATGTTTCACTTTCACGCCTTTCATGACGATCCTCAGTAGTTACAATTCTTTGAACAACACTATTTATATATTTATATGAGCACAGAGCTTTATTAATATCATGTAAGTTCGTTTTTTAAATTGTGACTCAAATTATCTTTTCCAAAATCTTCATTTTTCAAAAATAAGTTCCTTCAGGTTACAAATATGTATACAAAACTTGCTCCCTGAACATTTACATTGAAAATGTTGAAGATTTAAAACCGAGATTACTGTATACAGTTCATACTTCTGTAAAGGCTAAAAAAAGTACAAAATGTATCATTAAGATGGCTTTAACGAAGAAAGCAAAAGAAAGGTCTGCAGAACCACCCTAGGCTGCCAGTTAAACCCTGTTTGAGATCGGTAATTTAAATATTCTGTACAGAGTGACACGTTGTAGATTGCAACAATCTGTGACAACAGTGAAAAAAAAATAGAAATTTGCCACTCCCTGAGATGAAATTTAAAGAAATTGAGCCGCGGTTTAAATCCGCCAAAATCCGCCAAAACCCGGTTTAAATTTAGCGCCGGTTTAAATCTTAAAACATTTAATACAATTTTAAGTGGAACCAAACATATTTAAACCGCGGCTTAAATTTAAACCGCCGCTCAAATTCTTTAAATTCGGCCACTGAACAAACAACACAATTAAAAAAGCCGTCTTTATAAACTTGTGCCGTGAGATAAATGGCAAGAACCCCCAGGAACTTTGAAGGGATCATTATCTGGGCGGAATCATCGGGGAAGAGATCATTGGACCAAACAAGGTTGAGAATGGTGTCAAGTTTAAGTCAAAGGGTTATTCTGAGTTCCTGAAGGACCATTTTATGCCTTTGTACAGAAATCCTAATTCCAAGGTTAAAAAGCTTGAATTGCAACAAGACAATGCCCCCTGGCATGCATCTAGGGAGAACTTAACCAATTCCATGAACAATAGGTCCCTGGAGGTCATCAGGAGGTCTAGAGGCTACGTAGGAATGTGATTTCATATTGAGCATTTTTTGTACTTTATTTTGTTTGAAATATAATTTGCATAACTAAATCTTTTTATGTTTGTCGTTTTTATTTAAAAAAAAATAAGTTTTCTTTTATTAAATGAATTCAATCATAAAAAGTCAAATTTTTGAAGAAAAAAAACTATTTTCAAAATTTTCTTCCTTTCCCTTTTGAACCTTCAAAAACTTATTCGCATATTTAACTTGAAACACCGTGTGTGTTTATATATATTTATATCTTTAAAAAGTGAATTAAAGGAACAGACCGGCTATGTAAGGGATGTAATTGGCAGTTAAACTGAGTATCCAGTGTTGTGGACAAATTCTTCAGGATTCATTTGAGACGTTTCCACGATGTAATTATACTGAGTTTGAGCGTAAAGTCGACGTTCAAAATCATGAATTTGGGTGGATACGTTTCAGCATCGGTGTTTTTTAATTATTAAATAACGACGACGAAAAATATAGTAAAAATTCTATAGGAACACATTTCTCAAGAGAAATTTGTCAATAAATCAAAGTTAGAATTATTTCCTTTTTCATCATTATATTGAATTTCTTATTTTCTGTGAATTTGTTCGCAGATTTCTTCAACTTTTGGTGTTCGGGGTTTATCTTCTTAAAAGATACACAAGTCTTCTATGTATGACCGCAAACTTTTTTACTTACGACTTTGTACATGGTGACCCAAAAAAACAACAGGGATTAACGTTTTAAGCCCCAATAATCTTTTAAAATTATCCGAAAAAGCGCCATGCGTATGATGCTTCCCTTTAGCGCAAAAACATGTCGAACATTTGAAAACCCATTTGTTTACTTTGAACAATCAACAATTTTTATTATTCTATTCAAATCTATTTTGCTTAGAATGTTTAGAAATTATGATAATGAATACTTAAATAAATTACTGGAATGTTTATATTTTAAATCATTTCTTTGTCCCAATTAAAAGTCATGCTAAAAAAATCACCTATTTCTAAGGTCCATCAAAGCTGTTTGCAATCATGGGGCTGTGAAGGCTGCAACCTTTTCTTAGATTTTTCTTTATAGAGTTCTGAGTTTAGGACTACGTATACACCTTGGATTTGAGAAAGCTCCGAAGAAAAATCTATGGGGGTTCAGATATATGTAAATGAATTTATTTGCTTCTAAATCAATATGGGTCAGCTGAAGTTAACGGAGAGATTTCGGAATATTCGACACAGTTTTACACCAAATGATTGGGTCGGCCGACAAAGTTAAAATTAAAAATTATATAAAGTTATTAGGGCACATTTTTCAGTCATTTTAAACAATTAAAAGGTCTGAAAATCCTAATCCCTGTCACCCTGAACAGTCATGTTTTTGCATAAAAGGATATTCTCACAAGGAAGTATATACATGATAATGTATCCTAATGAAAAGGGAAATTAAGTGACATCAATTTTTGTATATTTTAGGGCTGATGCGGGACCATGTTAACTTCATAATTGCCTCAATACTACCAGAAAACGTGGAAACCATGCTTAACATTCGAAAAGCTATAAGATTACAAACAAGAACTCAAAATATATATGTTTTTAAACTCAGCTATCCAATTAACCGTTTCACAAAAGAGATTAATTAATCATTAATTAATTAATTAATTAATCATTTTGCTGTTTTTTAAGTTTGAACCATGCACATATTTTGTAAAACTTTTTACATTCTTAACTTTCAGTTCATATTTCTCCAGGAAACTTTAGGGTAAGTTATTTTTATTGTTTTCTTTTCCCCCTTAATCTAATGGCTGGCTATCCTAATAAAATATTACCTTAATATTGATTAGTTTGATGTATATTTATTTTTTACTATTATTAAAAGTTTGAGGAATAGGTAATGGAACGCCATACTTTGTTCTGTAGACGGACATTTTTCAGTGCTGAGAAAGTATTTTCTTTTACAAATAAAAACTTATACATATACTTCTTTTTATAAAAATGTAGTGTCTAAACGATTACAGGGCCCTGATCTACATAACCTAGTTTGCGATTAGTTACCTATTTTCTTCCTTCTAATAACATTGCTATTATAATTACATGAAGCTAGCTAACTGGGGAAGTAAACAAAGTTAGTACAAAATGTTCACTTATTTTTAAGTACTTCGGCCTTGATAGCAAAAATTGAAATTTGTGAAAAAATAACAAATTAATTTACTCCGGCCATAAAAGCAAAAATTGAAATTTAAACAAATAACAAATTTTTAATAGAAAAGTATTCTTGGAATTTTAAAGTGAAAATGTAAAAATCGGAAAATAACAATTCTTTAATTTTTAGAACAACTTAACATTTTTGCAAATGAAGGACGTTGAATTCTATCTTTTTTTCATAACAATTTCCTGCCTCTTGACAGTAAATAGCCTATCCAAAAATAAATATTGAACATTCCACGGTAACGCATACATGAACTACATATGGATAGGTTGTTCAAAAATCAGTTTCTGTATGAATTAGGTGGATTCCGCTGGAGATTCACTTGTAAACCTTCCCATTCCTCGAGAATAAGAACCTGTACACACCTTAGTGTCTTTGCATCTCTCTTTAGTGCCACTAGAACTTCGTGGTCTAAATGCAGGATGCAATATATCTGGACCCTTTAAACCTAAGTTGGAATCCATACAATTTGAATTTGAAGGTTCTTGGATTGAAATAGTTGAAAATTGGTCCAATATATTATCACTAGGGTCTGTGATGATTCCTGCTCTATACTTGTCAGGTGTTGGATACTGTTTATCCTTAAAATCATCCGCAAACTCGGATTTACTAAATCTATAAACTGTTTGCATTTTCTTTTTGATCTTATCTGCGGGAACATTCTGTTGATCAGAATCCTTCTGACCAGATTTATTACAAAATAGGTTCATGGCATTGTTTGCATTGACAGCATCATCACAATTGCTGTCGTTGGCATTCCTCTTTAGCACTTGATTCATGATGAATTGGCCTATAAAACATATCTTTATTTTTTAAATATTAAACATTGAGATTTAAAGTTTTTACTAACCTGTAAATGGATCAATAAAGCACTCAAGCACTTTTTGATCGGGAATAATTTTCTCGGGATTGCTGTGTTTGTCTAAACTCTCATGTTTTAGAGCCGGATTTTCTGGGACAACTTCAGACGCGATCTTTTCGGAAACACTTTCGGTATCGTTGATGATGTTATCCTGGGTTCCAGAGTGTACAGATACATCTTTGTTGTCAACACTCTCCCCTGTTAGAGGATCCCAAGCCAAATCTAAATTTTCCGAATGTATTTTGCTTAAACCTTTTATAACAGGAACAGAAATGGTTCTGGATGGAACTGGAACTGATTTAACTTTTGGAGTTTCTTTACTGCTGGACTCCTTCTTTTCCTCGGATTGAACTTTTAAGTTGGTTTCAGTTTTTCTCCGATTATACTTTGATTTTAGTTGTTCTAGTTTTACATCCGATATTGCTTTAGGATGATTAATTTCAAAATAATCCCATGTACGTTTTCTCTGGTTTACTTCTTCTAGATACACGAGACCTTTATTATTTATAATTTCTGGGTCTTCAACGGGGTATGTCTTCTTTTCTTTTTTTTCAATCTCATCTTTTTCTTTTTTCTCCTCGTGGTCCTGAATATCCTTTGCTGGTTTATCTATCTTGCGTACGTTTACTTCTGCTTGGTTCTGGTTTTGCGTAACTATATTCTCATTAATATTTGACGTGACAATAGGTGACAAAACGTAACTAGTCGATCTGCGCCTGTGTGGTTTAGTATCAAATCCAGATCTCTTTTCAGCTCTTCCCTGATCTGTCAACGTTGTAAGCTCCTCAGGGTTAATTTGAAGTTGCAGAGAACCTCTTCTTTTCATCTTTAACTGGTCTAGGTCAGATAAAAATGCGCTATCCACGAACGATTTTCTTGAACCAGAATTTTTGGTAAATGTATCTATTAAGTCCGAAACACCAAGAGATTTTTTCTTTGCCCTAAACTTCTCCAGCTCCTCTCGCCAAGAGTGCCTTTTAGATTCTTCTCCATTTTCATCGCTTAAAAATACCTGACGCATTTTTATCTCTTTGTTTACAGGGTCGGGTCTGGTATTCTCATCTTCTTTACCCAACGTTAATTCTGGTTTTACTTTGTTATCTTCTCGGACAAAATTCAAGAAAGAATTAGAATTAATCAGATCAACTTGAACGGCTATCTCACTTGTATTACTACGAGTATGAAGTGTTGGGTTACTAATGCTAATTTTTTTGCTCATGTTATTAATTCCGTCAGCACTGGATGATCTTATCATGCTATGCTTAGTCTCGTAGTTTCGATTGTTTTTCTCGTCCTTTGCGATGAACCCTTTTGAATTTAGAGAATCATTGCAACTCTTCCTTCGATTAGTTTTGGCTTCGGACTTTCTATCATTTAAGCAGATAGCGTCAGTGTAAACTAACACAGTTGGAGGTGAAATTTTCTCAAAGGTTTCTATGTCTTCAAGATCTTCATCTGAAACCTCATGAAGTGTCTCCGGATGTTTTCCTTTTTTGGAGTTTGCATTGTTCTCAATCTGAGAATCAGATTGCAAGGTTTGTGAACTGAAAAGGAAACCTGTTGTACTTGTACCAGACTCAGGGGTTCTGATAGGAGAAAGGTTCGGCGAGTCCAAGGACGATTTGGTTTCCGAACTCCTAGGAAGATCAACATAATCACAATTGTCAAGGGTAGCAATATTAATCCTAGGAATGTTTGGAAGATGAGTAATGTCTGAAAAGGCTCCATTTACTCTATGCCTGGAATTTTTCTCAACTAGCAATGGGCTCAAGACCTCCTGAGATTTGCTGAAACTCTTGTATCCAACCAGCTTTTCTTGTGATCTTGAAGCGATCTTTGATTCGTTCAAGTAATCTCTTGACTTACTAAGGGTTAGCCGCATATCACAGAGCCGTTCCCGAGACTTTGATAAACTTTTTTTCAAGTTACTGTTGGCAACCTTTTCAAATATTGCTTCACGAGACTTTGATAAATATCGCTTTCTTTCTGTTATCTTATCTCTACAGGTTTGACAGGATCTTCTAGAAGAACCTGTGTAGTTGTCTCCCCCAGAATATGGCGACAAAAAATGATCAAGAGCGGGTATCTTTAGCATTAGAGGAGAGGGGGAGGGAGGCTCGTCGTTCTGAGATATCCAAGGATGTTGCATACATTCATCAACTGACGGCCTTTTTCTAAAATAAAAAGATTATGAAAAAAAATACGATAAATATGATTTTGGATCAACTATACACTTTTCAAAGAGAGTGTCTTTATGGAGAGAAAAAAAAATCAAGCTAGAAGAGCTAAATTTCATAAGAAACTTAAAACAATTATCTATGTAGATACTGATATCATTAGTTTTTAGTTTTGATAATAAACTATTATACATTTTCTATGTTATCTATAATCATGAAATTCAAGCTAATTTTGAATTTTTTGTGACAAAGCCAACTTTTCATAATTAGGTACCTAAGTCGAGTTTTCATACTAACCTTAGTCTAAATAATCTTAATTGTAAAAATGTCAATAAAAGTCCTCTATTTCTAGTATAGTATCTAATACAATTTATTAAGTAAAGAAGTTAAGAAACCTGTACTTTCAAAATACTTGCAAACCAGTTTTTGATATGTTTATTGTTTTATTAGGGTAAAAGTATGTATCATTTAGGGGTAAACCAAAAGATTAGACATGAATCAACGCGTAAATCTTCATCATTCAGAAGATTTTTGATAGTTTATTATAAAGGAATTGAGTCTTTGCCACAAACTCTGAATTTATAATCCCTATATCTTTAAAACCCAATGTTGTACATCTTTGATATTTCAAACTTATATTATTTAATCTAACAGAATTCATAGTTTGAAATATCTAAGGTCTACGACATTGGAATCCAAAGATATAGGGTTTAGAAAAGCAGAGTTTGTGGCAAAGACTCAATTCCTTTTAAGATTAATGCCAAGTAACGTGGTTAAAGTTTAGTGTTTGTTGAACATGGCTCTAAGAGGCTCCACAAAAAAAGTTTTTCACGCAATAAAAAAAAATTTTAGTCCATGTTTATTTTTTTATTTTTGTCTCATATCTTTTGGGTTATAAAAAACGTTCAAAACTCTATTTGTGTAACAATTATACAAACAATTCAAAACCACAATGCAAATCATTAATAATAACAAACAAAACAAAAAACATAAATTTATCTTACTTGGGATTTCTGTTCAAACAACGAGATATAAAATCCTTGGCATCTTCCGAAACTCCCTCGAACAGTTCTGCAGGGAAATCAAGTGAGGCTGTGGATATGTTTCTTAAAGTCTCCTGGTCACTATCTCCTCCAAAAGGAGAGAACCCTGTGAGAAGAACGTACGCCACTACCCCAAGTGACCATATATCTGCTGCAAGGGTTATCGGCTCCATGGCTAGTATTTCGGGAGCTAAAAGCATAAAATTGAAAAAAATAAACAATAAAATTGAGCAAAATATATAAGATTGTTAAGTAATGGAAAAACAAATTCTTTTTCTTGCAATTTTTACAGACGTTTTGATAATTATGAATGCTGGAAAATAAGAAAAATCTTACCCACATAATCTGGAGTACCAATTATCTCACGAATTTGCTCTGAGCTTTGGATAACTCTGGATACCTCCAGATCACAGAGCTTGATTTCACAATTCGGAAACTCACTCATAAGAACTATATTCTGCGGCTAAAAAATTGAAGATTAGTAAAATATAAGTTAAAAAATTGTTTTCTATAAAATCAGCAAAAAAATGTTTATTTCGCTATAACCTTAATATCTAAATGGGCAATCTTCCGTAGATGAATGTATTGAAGAGCTTCCAAAATCTGTAGAATAAATCCTTGTACATCCTAAATGAGCAAAATAAAATTATATTTACGATTTTTTGTCTAATTTTAAGTTACCAGTTTATATTTAAGAAAAAATTATGTCGATTGGAAAAATCATCTCATCAAAAGATTTGATTTTAAAAAGTTCCTTTACTTTCCACGAAGGCGAACAAACACCAACAAATCCAATATTCTAAGTTTCGATTTTTATTTTTTCTGTTTTTTTGTATATCCTGTGCAGGCACATTCGTGTCAAATATATTCAGCCCAATTAGTACCAAGTAGCACATGTTTTAAATAAACGACAATTTGTTTCTAAACAACTTTTAGATAATTATGGAATTTGGCTAAAATGTTATGCACAGCTTAATGTTCAAAAGAAATTAATTCTATTTTAAATCCGTTTTTTAGGGGAAAATACATTTAATACAATTCTCCCAGCTAAGTTTGAGTATTAAACTCAAAAATGGATTTTTAGAACCAAAAATCATACCAGACATATCATAGATTAATAAATAAACATAGACAGCTTATGTACGCAAAATCACCAAGAATTGTACAGTCCGCGAACTCATACTTCTAGGGGTCAAAGTGTACTTCAATGATAAGCGGGGTGGTTTGATGTTTTAATGGATTTCATAATTATTAAACCACTCAGGAGTGAATTTTATTTTGAGAATATCAAATTATTTCACTGAGCAATATATCATATTGACGAGAACTGAAGAAGGACATGAGAAGGACTATAAACTAACTTAAATTTCTTTTAACAGAACTCATGTATACCACAAGTACACAATGACATAAGAACAGCCAATGTTCACAACCGACCTAGTTAATCTATATAATAGGAATATCTTTAAAACATCTCTGTACATTTATATCTTTCAAGATGAAAAATGTCGTCTTATGCGCAATCTATCTTTATCTATGCATATCACACTCACGAACAAAGTGAAAAATTGAAAGTTTAATGATTTTTTAAGTTTTTTTTGGTCTTTTAGGGGTTCCCTAAAATGCCAAAGGAGTCCGATAGCCATTATATTTTGCTATTTCTTTTTTTGTGGGGGTTTACAGAATTAATTTGGGTAAATATATTTTTCCAAAGAGAAAAAATAATGTTAGCAACAAAATTAAAAATTTTTACATAAAAAAACATCTTTTATCATTTTTTTAAATTTTTTGCTGCAACCTAACTCCGACCGTAGACGTCCCAAAAAATGTTATGATAAAAATATCTTTTTATCTTGGAATAAAATCTACCTGCTCAAATGGAACCATATCGTCGTCAAGAACAGATTGAAAATCTCCCCCAGGAGCACTGAATATAACGCGTTGTAAATTTGATGATTATGAATTATGAAATTTTTATCGAGGTTTATTCAACAGCTGATGAAGAAAAAAAGAATTGGAAATAATCTATAAATTCGGTTTAAAAAGTGTATGGCTCAAACACATGTGTACGTTGGAGATCATGCATTTTATAAAATAAAAAGATGTTTAAGATGCCGCTTAAATCAAAGAACATTTCATTAGATCTCTTTTTCAATTAAAGTTGGAAAACCGAAGAGAAATCATGGAACAGGATTCGGCACCAATCCCCCCTCTCACCATGATATTGCGGTTGGATGTCATTGGGGGAAAAGGGAAATGTGCGCGACTTTGATCTTAGTAAACATTACCGAAAAGATTAAACAATTTTGCAATGTGCATATATATGCCACAGAGTTAAGCGATCATAATGTAGAAAAAGTAACTTACTATTCAAGAACTAGAACAATTTCATGCTTGCTTTGAAATACGTCTTTGAGATGCACAATCTTGGATGATTCAACACAGATGGAGAGGAGAGCAATTTCATGAAGAACCTCTGACGTGCAGTCCGCTCCATATCGAACTCTGATATCAATACGTTAAATATATCAATATCTGCAATCTTAGATTTAATTTTAAATAATTAATATTTTATTTTACCTTGATGAAAACTTTGCAGCATATTCCACACCCGTTTCTTTATTTGTGCACTTCTTGACAGTGGCAAACAGGCCACTAAATAAGAAATTTGAAAGGTATTTTGTAGATGCAAAACCACAACATGTTCAAACTTTTTAGACTCACGTTGTCATTGAGAATAGGTGGACGGCTTTGCTAATACTAAGTATCAGCGGATAGGGTGCTGCTAAACCTCTTGAAGTGAAGTGTTGTTACAAAGCAAATAGGTTTACTAGTAAGTTTTTAAAGTAAATTGGGTCTGTTTACCGTTGCTGTATCTAATTTTTATTGGACTATTTAAGCTCATAACTTGAGTCTAAAAGTCGACTTCCTATTCCAGAGTTTTCTGGTTATTACTGCAATGACTAATTTTATTGGAAATATTTTTAGTTTATAGCTATAAGCTGGAAGATATCAAAAATAATTTGAAGGGAAAATGAAAAATAAGTTGCATTAATGGTCTAAATAAAAGTTTGAATAAGAAACAATTTTACACTTCTGATGACTGCAGCGCATTTTTTTCATTCTTTTCTGCATTATATTTATCAAACAACTGTATCAGCTTCAAAATATCTCATTGCCGATTATCTACAGTCTTAGTACACTACTATGTATAGATATACTATAAGGGCCCATCTTCGATGTTTACGTTTAATGTTGCTCTATCTGCGGCATTTTTCTTCTTGAATTTTAAACAATATCAAACAAAATTTCGCAGAGTTATTAATTTTTATCCGTGCATTTAAAAAAATCGAAAATTTTAATGCCGATTTCTTTAATTTTTTGACCACCCATAAACTTTCCTTGGGGTTCTGTGAGGTCCCACGAAATAATTGGGCTTGATCGGTTCAGCCTTTATAGAGCTTATTGGATAAAAACCTGATACAAACGGACAGACAAACAAATATATATATAAATATATATTTATATACAAATTTTTCGAGTATTATGTGTGAATTTTGGCGTTAAAGGTTGGAGATAATCTAATTTAATATGGGACGCTCTGTACGTAAGCCAGTAGTATATCGTTTTCTAAATATTGAGCAAATCCAATCCATAAATTAGGCTTTAATGTATTTATAATAGAGATTTTATTTTGGTTAGATAAAAAGTTGAAAGTATGATTTAAGTAAGATTTGACAAAATCTTAAAAAAAATTTTTGTTTGCTATAATTGGAAAATTGAAATGAAGTTAAGAAGACAACGAAATGATTGATCGAATATTATATAAATTCCCATATATATACTTTGCTTGTCTGTCTGGGTGTTTGTTTGCTTTTATCCAATAAAAGTCAAAATGGTTAACCGATGGGGCCCAATTTTGACTCAAGGGTAGGTTTATGGATGATCAAATTTTCAAAAATTTGCCTCTAACAAAATTAGATTTTTTAAAATTTTGAAAATCCACGAAATAGAAGATGGGCGCCAAGCACTCTAAAAGTCTAGTAAAGTATAAATTTTAGTTTACCTGGCAACAGGAATAGGGTCCACATCGTAGTAGGTCTCTATATTCCCTTTATGGATGAGATCCTGTAGTATTTCTGGTGAAACTTTCACTATTCCCATTTCAACATTCTTGACGTCACACAAATCTTCAAACTTTTTTCTATTTGAAACTTCCAATTCTACGGTTTCAGCACTGACTGTGCATATTACAGGATTTGTTTTGGTTTTTGACACTGACTGTGCTGGCTTGGTCTGTTCTTGTCGATTGGACTTAATATCCCGTCCAATTCCAGAATCTTGACTGGAAGAAGAACTTTTACGGTTCGGATCAATTTTAGATATCTCATTCTTAGATCTATTCTGATTTGGTGCTCGCGCTTGCGCTTGAGGTTTCTCAGATTCACGGCTCCTCGGAGAAACATTTGATAAGTTCTTCTCATTCTGGGGAATAGAAAACTCTCTTCGTTTAGTTTGAGGAGTTCTACCAGGTCCAGTTACGTTGGGTTTTGATGGAGCAGAAATACCATGCGAACCATTTCTTTTACCATTGCTGGTTTTGTTAGAAACTTTATTTCTAACAGCTGGACTCTCCTGGCTTGCTGTTCTCCTAGTCTCGGAGTCAGTCTGAGGAGTATCACTAGATTTAGACTTCATTCCACTTCATTTCAGAATAGGACCTCTAAGAACAAATTAGAAATAAAAAATAGATATTTGGAGTGTCCCTCCACTGGCCACTAATTATATTTAAAGAGAAAAAATATTTTACAAAATGACAGAAAATGTCCATGCATAAGTCGTATCTTATGGTATGGCTTTAAGCTAATTAACTGCAAAACATTTAGTATTCTAGTTGGGTACTAGTACAAACGTCGGAACCACAAACGTCGGACGGTACAAACCTGTGCCTTACAAACGCCGGACAGTACACACGTCGGACCAGTACAAACGTCGGACTAGTACAAACGTCGGACTGGGACAAACGTCGGATAGTACAAACGTCGGACCAGTACAAACGTCGGACCAGTTCAAACGTCGGACTAAGGAAAAAATGATGTCAATTTTATGATTCTTTTAATCATAAAGTTATTTCCTTTTATCGATTGGTCTAATAAAAATCTACCCAAAGGAACAGAGTTCTTGCCACTAATTTAAATATTCTCATCCCTATACCTTTGCAACCTGGTAATGATATTAACCTTTAATACTTTCAAACTTAAACTGTTTGATCTTATAGATTTCACAGGTTGAAATATTAAATGTTATACGACATCGGATTGCAAAGATATAGGCATTGAAACATTTGTCACAATTGAACTCAACTCCTTTTGGTCTGTTTTTTATACCCTATATAATGCTATCTTCAAAGGATGAGACTTTATTCAGTTGTCTTTGATTTTCAACACAATAAGTGAGTAATTTTTTATTTATTTCTTATAGCAATGGTATTTTTTTCCAACTCAACAAAAGTCCGACGTTTTTCCTCATAAATGTACCCGTCCGAAGTTTGTACTGGTCCGACAATTGTCTCAGTCCGACGTTTGTACCAGTCCAACGATCGTAAGTCCGAGGTTTGTACTGTCCGACTTTTGTAGCGTCTGACGTTTGTAGGTCCGACGTTTGTACTGGTACCGCTACTGGTACATTAAAACTTTCAAAATAATTTTTTAATCGTAGAAATTTAATACCGTAATAAACAGAAAACTGCAGAATAGTAAGATTACATTAAAGTAACGCTGAAGTGCATTTGATGCTGTTACAATGCAAAAAGTTATTAAATCAATCAATAAGTGAAATGGGTCTGTTTACACTGCGCAATTGCTGTGCCTCATGTTCATTGGACTATTTTAAGACATAATTGGAGTCTAAAAGCCGACTTCCTATTCCAGAGTTTTCTGGTTATCACTATACGAACCATAGTTAAACAAAAGTAAAGACAAAAGTAAAATGGTTTATTGATCAAGATTTTGAGATAAAATAAACATAAACATGTCAAACCCCTTATATTCAGCATCTTAATAGAAGTATAATAGAAATTCCTAGATACGGGCATGGAGACGTCATTTGGAAAAGGGTTTAAATAGCATAGTTTAATGTCGGAATAAAAATATCGTGATAAGTCGATTCCATAATGCATAATTTTAACAAAGTATTTAATAGAGATGGATGGGGTCATGCAGGATGAGAAATGAAAAAATATGGTCACAAGGGATTAAATATTAATATTTATAATGAAAAAAGATTTCTCAATGAACCAACCAACAAAGTGATTTATATTTAAAACATACAGCGAGCTAAACAACAGAAAATAAAAACTACGAAAAATCAACATATGGATATAAAGTGTTCGAAAGTAAAGACTTTCTTATTGTTTAACCTGGTCATCTAATAATTAGTATGTTGGTAATTGGGAGGCTAGACTTTTTTTTAAAGAGAATTTATTCGGTTGCTAGTTCCTTTTAATAGTTAAGATCATAGAAGTATTACTTTGAGCTTCTTAGAACCAAGTCTTTATGGGTAGTTCATGAACAAAATATCTGAAGACTCTTCTAGAAGGTGAAAGAGGTCGAAAGGGGGGGGGTACAACCGGGCGCGTGACTATGATCCTACAGGGGGCTCAAATTTTAGTTTAATATATAAATTGTTTGAAAATAATTCAAGGATTATAAGGTTGTTTTATAGTGAATTTTATAGTTTGCTAAAAATCTTGATGACTAAATTTGATAATAAAGGAATTGAGTTTTTGCCACAAATTCAGATTTTCTAATTATTATAACTTAGCAACCCGTTTTCCTGGACCTTTGATATTTCAAACTATTAATTCTGGTAGATCAAATAGTCTATATTTGAAATATCAAAAGTTTACACCATCAGTTTGCAAAGATATAGGGGTTAGAAAATTTAAGTTTGTTGCAAAAACTCAATTCCTTTGTAACAATTTATATGCGAGAGTTATAGATACCATCAAATTTCATAATAATCACCAGCTTTGATAATAAATTATAAAAAATAATCAAATTTTAATAATATAATCAAATTATAATAATATAATCAAATTATAATAATGTAATCAAATTCAAGCTTATTAGAAATGTCTAATCAATAATCTTAAGGTAACGAACGCTAAGTAATTAAGCTTGATGATAAAACGATGTTAGGTACTTTCCCGAAGGTCTTTTCCCAAGGGCAACCTCCCCAAGTGACAATTTTCCAAGTGGCAACTTCCCGAGTGTATCTTTGTGGTTTGGTTAGGATTTCTGAAGCGCCGCAGACTGCAAGCCCAATCGCTGTGGCTAGAACAGACATGGAAAGTTGCCCCTTGGAAAATTGCCCATGGGGAAGTTTCCACTTGGAAAAATGCTCTTAGGAAAGCATAAACAATGTAAAATATCGTCAAAATCAAGCTAAAATGATCAGTTTAGATTCACGACCCAATGTGCATCACAACGTTGACAATATTTGTTAGAATATATAAACATTGTACTTGGTCTAAATTACCTATTGTATTCAAGATTATTTTGGGGCCTAGTTCTTAACTGTAATTATAAATTATTGTATAAGTATGTAGATATTTAAAAAAAGCTAGAAAGAAAAAAATATAGTAAGTTTACACACATGAATATTGTGATAATGTATCCATGTGTGTATACATAGTATTGCAAACTATGTTATTTAAACCAATATTTTATTAAATGTATGATGGCAAGGGAGAAAAGAAATTAACGCAACTAAGCCAAACTTCATAAGTTCACATGGATATCTGTTTAAAAGATATGTATACAATATTTTAATTCATCCCCCTGCCATAAGTGCAAATAAATCATAAATACTTTATACTTATGAACTGCATTGTCAAGTCTATATAATATAAAACTATATATATTCTATATGTATATTATATATACCTTTTTCAGTATCTTTCTCTAAACTGGTTGAGAAGAACTGAGTGGTAAGACCTGTCTATACCCTCACTCCTATTTCTTGGTTTGTGGGCGTAAATTTAGACACGCCCAGGTTGCTGATTGCAAAACTAGAGACACACACCTGTGGAATATTCTCACTCAGGTCTCGTGGCCTGAAAAACACACTCCACAGGAGCTGGCTAAGCGCTACTCTCGTCACTAGTATTTCGGAACAACATAACGCTGGATCCTCTAAACCAAAACTGAAGAAGTGGGTTTTAGATTAGTAGAGTCGGGGAGAATGGGGCGGTATGGGCCGCAGATCAGCCTTGCAACAAAGGACCAGTAACACAGACAAACACCGTCACAAACACACATAAACCCACAACCCTCCACCTACGCAAATAGGAAACATATGAGGAAAAAACGAGGAGGAATTGAGAGAATGAGATTATGAGCTAAAGAATGGATAAATATAAAGACTACGACTATAAGAATGAACAGGTTTAGGCTTGACCCAGGCTTTTATATGTTCTAAGTCCGGCATATTAATAGATTTCGTAATTATATCTCTAAACTTTCTAGTTTTCAGCCAAACATCTGTAAAATAAGAAAGGTTTGAATTTTAGATATTGTGATTTTTAAGAATCTTCATTGTCAAAACAATAACTGAGGACTTTTATTGAGAATTATTTACTGTTCTAGAGTTTATTTAAGCACATTTTTCATTAACATTTTTATATAGTATTTTACGTTTCTCTTTTTATTCTCTAAATTCAATCATTTTTGTGCTCCATGGCATATAAAATATAAAAAATTCCATCTTTTAGTTTTAACTATTGCAGCTTTATATAAAGAAAGATAAATTTTATATAATCTTATGTATCATGTATGAATCTAACTATAGACTAGACTAGACTTTACAAAACATTATAGTTTTTGCGAAATGCTTTTCTTGTATATCATTTATCCAGTATTTCACCAAAAACAATAATGTTTTGTGAATTGGTTGTAGTGTAATTAGATTTTTACATATACAACATGTGAATTTAAATAAAATTATAAAGCTTCAATACAGTGGTAACCAGAAAACTCTGAAATAAGAAGACGACTTTAGAGGAATACATAGGTTTATTTGATGTTACAAAACTAATAGTTTTACTAGACACTTTATAAATCCCTAATTAAGTGAAATGGATCTGTTTACACTGCACTATTAGTGTCTCATGGCTCATTGGACTATTTAGAGTCAAAACTGGAGTTTAATAGTAGTTTTCCTATTTCAAAGTTTTCTGGTTATCACTGTTGTTAGAAAATTTAGAAAAACAAAATATAAAGTCTTAATCTTAATAAAAGTATAATTTTTAATACAAATAGTTTATGTATTATTAAAAACTTTATGATCATGTTTAGATTTTTCGAAAAAAAGGCTTTTGGTGGATGTAAAAGCCAAATAATTATTATTGGATGTAGGATTGCGGGACTTGTGAAGACAGATTTATAGCATGAGGCTCGGAGACGATTTTGGTTGGCTAGGAGGCGATTCTGCGAATCATGATGAGGCTCCGGAGGTTAGTTTGCGGGGCCCATAGATGCTCTGCACCTCTTCCTAAGTGCGTCTCAAACTTATTGATGACAACTTTTTATCAATCCCATTAATCCTTTGTCAATTTGTCTGGCTGTTAGTTTGTTACCTCTCTCCATAGACTTAACCAAATTGGCTGAAATTTTAGTGCAAAAAACGCTGGGAACCCTGGGAGATATTAGAAAAAAAATAATTTTTGGAAAAAATTTCAGTATTTTTTAATGTATTTTCTGGCTTTTCTTTTAAACGGTAACATCTAAAAAAGTCACAATAAAAAAAATCGGAAAAGGTCCTAATTTCTGGCACCAAAAAAAGTCCTGCGGGAAAATGTCATGGAAATGTGTAATGCAAATTATTTTTAAGGAAATAAATCCTGACTTTCTATCCCAAGTTTTTATTTCCTGTCACGGTTTCATACATAAAATGAATAGGTAAAAAAGTCATAGACAAATTGTACAGCTCACTGGTGATTATTTTTCACAATTAAAATCAAATTAATTAATTGTAGATTTTTCATTAGTTAAAAACATGTTGGTCCTTCTTCTAAAAATGATATTCAAAAATATTTGTGTTAAAGAAAATTACCCCGTTTGATCATGTTTTATCAGTGTACTTTTTTTGAATAACTTTTTTTAATTAGTATTTATTTTCTTATAGTTTTTTTTCCTACAGACTTTAGTGGAACTTTTCCCTAGAGATTTTATTTCAAGTACTTTTTTCATCATCTGTTCATCATGACTTTTAGCAAATTTAGAGGCGTTTTGAAAGCTCTAGGACAAAATCTGACCATGGGAGAAGCTGAAAAATATTTGTTGCAGATATTTCAGATTTGTATATGCGTATAATTCATATAATCTACATATTTACATAAAATATGACTACTCGGACTACTCCTATCACAGCTTTTCTAAAATATGGTTTAAAGATAAACAACATTTTCCTGAAAGTGAAGCCGTTAATCATGTTAATGGAAGTGTGCGTGAAAAAATAAAAGGGGGTATTAACTAACTCCGAATTAAATATAAATTCAATCATCACCAATTTTATAAAATTCGTTTAAGATGTTTTTTATTATATGATCTTAATATTGTATAGGTATTTTAGTTTAAAGATGGCTCCTGAAAAATATGCACTTAGTATAGTCTAAAATGTAAGCAAAAACTTAGAGAATACAAATAATTGTACTTTAAGTATAGGGAAAGTTTCCAATAAACTTTTTGAGGGTTTTTCTATTCTTTCACTTTTTCATTTTTCATTTTTCATTGTGTCATACAAATATAGATCACAAATTACATAGTTAAGAAAATTTTATGCTGTCGACAGTTTGTTTCTCAAGACTTAAAAAATAAAAAGGATAAAAAGTTTTACTGTTTAAATTAACAGATGTTTGCAAAAAGATGTTTCATAAAAGGTTTTGTCGATCTATTTACAGCTGCTATGCATGAAACAGGGGGGAAAATTTCAAAATAAATTAATTTTTTGATTGAGCTCACATTTTTCTTTTGTGAACGTTATGATTTTTAACGATATGGAAATTTGAAATTACACAGTGATCGTCGTTTATTTAATTACAATAACAAAAACTTTTTTTCTTCATTTTGATTTCTTGCAAACTTACATACATCAGACACATAAACATCTAAACAAAGAGAAATGTTATACGTCTCACTTACATTTCGATTTTATTTATTTTCATGTTTTGTCTGAGGTATGATATAACTCAGGGAACATACTAAAGATATGATATGAAGTAATCGTCTTTGTAAGATGTATAATTCGTACCTTCTATTCCGTTCTGCTGTGTTTAAAAAAAAAGATTTTCTCATCTTCCCCCACCCCCTCCCCCTTTCCGCAAATGAGCTGGTCTGAAAATATTGGGCTATGAAAATTAATCATTGTATCTTATAAACGTCCATTGGCAGAACTTAAAGAATTGAAACTACGTCGCTGAACTGCTAAAAACCGGTTCCAATTGAGCGCCGGCTCAAATCTCGAAACACTGAATATAATTTCAAGTGGAACCAACTATGTAGTGTTTCTTTAAATTCGGACTCAGGTATAAAAGAATAAAATAAACATTTACACTGACACTCGTATGCAGTCAAAACATAAACAAACAAAATGTGAACATAGAAGACGAAACTCTTACTCTTTCTCAGTAGGTATCACTATACTAAATCAAAGAATTATTTAAAAAGACAATATCGAATTCTTCACTGAATTCCCATGTTTATTGGGACACCCTGTACATTTTTTTTTATTTTATTATTATGCTCATTAAATAGTTTTACCTAACATTTTACGCTTTCTAATACACGCGCGCTTGAATTTACATATTTAGTTTATTATTAATACTGGTTATTTTATTTGAAATTTGATGATATATATAGGTCACATAGAACATTGTTATATTATGAAATTTAGTCACTGAATTCCCATGTTTTTTGGGACACCCTGTATATAAAATGTAAAAATTATCAAGCCAAAGACTAGCTTTAATGAAAGATTATGAAAAATTTCTACGACCCTGATCAAAATTATTGATATATTAATAATTTGTCTTTCTTTAATTAATAAAATATAAATTATCAAAATTTTATTGTCTCCTTAATTTTCAACATTAAAAGAGGAAATCGGACAAACTTATTTCACACAAATTCGTCCTAATAGAATCTTATAGAATTGACTTTACAAAAATATCGAAGACGATTATAATGTCGTCACCATACAATTTGCAAAGTTTTAAACTTTTACCTAAAAATTATCTATATCTAAATATACTTTACGTTCTGATTTAGGTAAAAGGAACTGTAAATGTAATTTCAAGTGACCCTTAAAAAAGTGGCATTGTCCAATCAAAAACTTTTCAAGCCAGAAAAAAATGAGTTATTTTGCACATTATTGGTTCTTCAAAGATACCGCTGTAAACGCCCCTCTTTAGTCAGTTAAAAATACAAGGACCAGGCGCTTGGGTCACTTAAATGTGTAAAAAAATTAAGCCCAAGATATTAGTTAGGAACTTGGAATTTTGGCTTAAAACATTGATTTTTCTTTTACAAATTATACAATTTGAATTATAACAGTAATAGTTGTCGCCATGGAAGCAGCTTGGAACCAAACTATGATTGTAAATATAAAATATGTGTTTACAAAAAATTAAAAGGTCTTTAAGCTGGTTCACTTATCACTATAACCAATTCGGTTCAATTATTAAATAAAGGCTTGAACATATTCTCCATAAAAAGAAAATTTTTGCCCAAATACTTTATAAACAAAAAATACTGTTTTAAAATTCGGTGATGGTGATGGACCAAACCTCTGTAAAGTAAAAAAAGTAGATGTTAGTTCCACATTTATTGAAAATATATTTCGGTCTGGGTTGACCCGCGTCAGTTCTAACGGTATAATAACCATCAAAAGCGATAAAAAAATTAAATTTTTTTTGTAAAAATCACAAGAAAATATACAAACAAAAAAGATTATTTAAAATAAAAATTTGGGCTGTCAAATGGACATAATTGGAAAACGAACTCAGATTATGAGATGGAAAAAAGATAATTTGCAAATATTCACTTTAAAAAAATGTTTTAGTTAAAATGTTCTCCTGTAGGCTGCTTTGTATGGAGATTTATAATGTAACCAATTTCTCTCACTCTTTGATCTAAAGATCTTGTTGTCTGTCCTATATATTGTAGTTTACACACAGTTTAAAGTTCCATTAATCTCAATCTTCTTGCTGGTATTAGAGGATTGTAAATTATATCTTTATAATACTTTGTTTGTAAGTTTGTCTGTGTGTAACCGATAATCGTCAAAACGGCTGAACCGATCAGGTCCAACATTTTGTGTGGGACCTCACGTGACCCCAGGGAAGGTTTATGGATGCTCGGAATTACGAAAAGTTGTCTCAAAACTTTTTCTGATTTTCGTAAATTTTTTTACTCCACGAAGAAATTATAAATCCGCAAAATTTGTATTATTGTTTTCAGAGAGAAAATCTGAAAGATTGAGTAACAAATAAAAGTTTAAATGGAAGATGGAGTGCTATGATTGTCTAGTTATTTAAAAACATATTGAATTATTTTGAGAATATCTGGGAACCAACTAAACAGTGCTAATATAAGCTAATAGCACGCTATAATAAAAATTACCACGAAATGAGCATGAATTATAAAATACACAATAGTTTCATAAAACATTATTAAATATATTTTTAATTGTTTATTCTGCTTTGAATGAAAATATACAACAAAGTTTAGTTCTAGGTGTCACTTTGTTCCAAAACTAACACTTGGACCATTTCTAACACTGTTTCAAATGCAGGAAATCAAATCAACTTTATTCTCTTATTTAACTAATAAAATGATGAAACTTAGATTCTAGAAATATTTAGCAATTAACTTAGTCTTTATAGATAATCTTTACTTTTAGTGATTTATTTTGTAAGTTATGAAAGTGAGTTTTGTTTTGTCTTGTGGATTATGCTCAATAACGGGAAAGTAGGGTTTGTCTCAAAAACGCAACAATGATTCTAATTCAGGATATGTTCGAAAATGGAAAACCTGGCATGGTCTTAAAAACGGTCAAATGTTTTAATATAAAAAGAACACCTTTTATAGTTTTGATTTCAATAAATAATTTAAAATTGGGAATGGTTGTCCTCCTCATGCTTAAAAATATGTTGTTTATAGTTTTGACTTTTGACTTTAACTCACGATATGGGGCGGGAATGGGATCTTTAAAGCCCAGTCTTTCAATTTGTGTACATTTCTACCACTCAGTGTTAGAAATGGGCCAAGTGTATAGTTTTGGAATTAAATTCATAACTCATGCTAAACATGGTTACAAGTTGAAATAGTCTTGTAAACATGAGACACAGAAATTGTGCAGTGTAAACAGGCCCATTTTATACTTAGTAGGGAATTTTTGATTTGATCCCCCACCTGTATTTTTTTTTTACACAACTCAAAAAGTATTGGTCTGAGACTGTTAAAATTTTCTGACTTTTTCTAAGTACTCATAACCCTCCCTTTAGGTCTAAACCCGGGCTTTTATACTAACTGCCTGAGTCCTTGCACACTGCCTGAATGACTACTTTTTCCTATAATAAACTAAATCTTTGTTTTGACCCACTTTCAGCTGAATTTTATAATTTTCAGCTTTATATGGAAGCCTTTGACATAAGGAAGCCTGATTGCACAAGTTTTGCAAAAAAACTTGCAAATTATTTGCAAAAGAAATTTGCACATTTTTTTCCCCTAATTATGTATCAGGTTATTAAAAATGCTGCACAAATTTGTGCATATTTTAAATGTTATGGTCAAGGCTTTTGTAAGAATGTATGATACATCATTTTTTGGACTTTTTTATAAACATTTCAACTATTTAACTGGATCTTGCAGAAAAATTTCAATTATTGCAAAGGAATTGAGTCTTTGCCACAAACTCTGATTTTTTAATCCCTATATCTTTAGAACCCAAGATCATAGACCTTAGATATTTCAAACTATGAATTGTGTTAGTTTAAGGGATCTAAGTTTGAAATATAAAAGGTTTAAACCATTAGGTTGCCAAGATATAAGCATTAGAAAATGTCAATTCCTTTGCAATTTGTTTCGAAGATTCTAAAAGTAGAGCATAAGAGCTTTCCAATGATGTATTATTTGTCATATTTGGACATCAAACATGGGATTTAGGCCCCCCCCCCCCTCCATATACTGGTTTTAAAGCACACAAGCAAGGATAAGGCTAAGCTTCTCAATAAAACTATTTGCTTTGAAAGCACATCAAAACATTAAAAGATAGTTTTGAAGTCGTCTTCCTATTCCATAGTTTTCTGGTTCTAAATGTATATAAGCTATGTTACGTAAAATGGCTTAACGGGGTTTTGGCCTATTATCGTTTTCATATTTTTTGTATCATAAATCTTCATAATTTTGAAGTTTATCGGACAGTGGAAAAAATAATAAAATAACATAGTATTACCAAACAGCAAACGTATTTAATTGAATTTCATTTGTATTTTGTATTTAGGATATATACATTTTCTTTTTTTCGCGAGAATAATTTAATGTTTTCCATCTATATTCGACTCAGTTTCCTTTGATTTCATTTTCAGGTCAATGTCCAGTTGAACCTGTTTCATATTTAGGTTTCTCCTATGTAGGTCTGGTCTGGGTACTAACAAGTGTTCATCAAAAGGATAATAATCGCCAATTTCCTCTATATCATCATAATAATGGAAATGTATTTTGTACAGTTTAAAGCCTATTGACCGAAAATTTTCTTCTTCTCACTTAAATGTTCTGAAAAGTTTAAAATCAAATTTTTACTTTGGATTTTTTCATTCCCAGGTATTGATAAAAAAAACTGGTAAAATAAACAACTTGTCTTAGGTCATGAATGAACAGGCGATGTAGAGAACCCGTTTTAGAACCAATGTGCGAGCTAGGCCGAAGAAATGCTAGGATTTAAGTGTTGGGAGCCTTCTCATTGACCTTCCTTGAAGAAATTCTGAACTATGTATACTCCGGAGGCGCAGAAACCAAGGTCAACATATACAAATGCTCGCGCGTATTTCACCCGTCCGGTGTCTACCAGTCTATACTTTACCGTGAGGAATAGATCATATACTTTAACATATATACATATGTACACATTTGCTAGGGTATTTCTTTAAAGGGGAGAGACAAGAAACACGATTCAAAGAGATATTAGGAAGGGATGGTAAAGGAATGCGAAAGGGAAAAAAGGGATGAAAATGTAAAGAAAAAGAAAATTATGGGAGAGTGAAGGAAAGTGTATATTAAGAGAAAGTCGAAGAAGAAGAAAGAAAGGAAAGAGGAATTGGGAGGGAAAGAAAAGAGTTAACCGTAAGCGAAGGGATGGAGAAAGAAAAAGGTAAGGAAAAGGAAAAGAGAAAAAAGGGATTGCGAAATAATGGAAATGAAGGAAACGGAAAAAATGAATTTAAAACGGAGGGAAAAGGCACAACAAATTGTTGGAAAGGGAAAGGAAATGAAAGTTTGAGTGAAGGATCAAGGAACGTAAAAGACTTGGAAATGAAAGGATTGGTAAAAGAGAAGGAAAATAGAAAGAAGAAGGAATGGAATGAGAAATGTAAAGGAAAATAAAAAGGAATAAATGGAAGGGAACGTGGGAAAAGCTGAAGTAAACAGAAAGGAAACAGGAAATGGAAGAGAAAGGAAAATAAAAGGCAGGGAAAATGATAGAAAATAAAAAGGAAAGAAAAGCAATAAGATTGATTGGTGAAATATACGGTTAAGGATTGGGTATTTTAAGATGTAATACTAACTTGTTCAATTCAGAGTTAAAATGTTTGAGACAACATGGCCTTTTTTAAAGGCCCTGGTCATGGTATGTTCTTAATTTTTCAAATTTTATTATTTTTCTTACTATTTTTGAGTCAAAAGCAAGAGATACTATTTAAAATCTTATCAATTTATAACATTTCCTAACTATATAATGTCCTAGCAATAATATACTTATAGATATCTACATAAATTGTAATTACGTAAATATGTATTTATATTTGATAATTTCAAAATGTTTATTTCAACCTTTACTTTGCATTGGTTTAATTTGAAATCCTAGACAAATACCATATCTTTGAATTTGTCATACCCTATTCGTAAGGAATGTCCCGTGTAAACATTAAATGTTATTTAAATGAATACACTAAATTGGATAATTAGTCACCAACATGATAATTTAAATATTTTAAAAAGTATCATATAAGATTTCATAGATGTACATTACTACATATATTTCTTCTATTTAACACTATTATCCTGATGGGGGGGGGGGGGATATTATGCACCCTTAAAAATGGCTTATAGTAAAACGCTCAAACTTTTTTTTTAACTTCATAGTAGACAAATTTTGCAAACAATTTTTTTATGTAAGGGCATATAAAATGTCCAATAATATAAGAAATATATATTAAAGTTTTTGAGTGCTCATTTATATAGGTTTGATTTCTGCATGTTTCAGGTTCTATTTATTTACCCTACAGGGGTACCTGCCCCAGTTCCTCGTTGCTCGCCGTTCATCATTATAAACAAGCTGGCAGAGTCTTCAAATATCATTTCTGACACGAATCCGTACTTTCCCGTAGGTCCTTGTGAGTACGGAAACCCTATGAATGCAATCAGAGCAGGGGTAGGTTGAATTCTAACTAGTAAGATTTTGCGGATCTAGAATTTTGTATGTCTTTTATTGATTTCTATAGAAAGCATGATGGTTTTATAGGACCTACGTTCCGTTTTTGTGTTTGCCGAGCCGGAGAAAGTTTTGAGGCACAACTTCTATGAATTAGTTTTCCTCTTTAAAACAGCTATTCCAAGAATCCTTAGGTAATATAATCTCTCAAAATCCACTTTAACTATTGGCGCCATTTTAAAATCTGTTTTATTTTATTTAGGATGGCTATGGGACAGATGAAGTTCATACAAGACCCAAATATACTTGCTGAAGGATATCAGCATTATACACCGTGAGTTTTTATAATTAATGTAAATTATAATTAATGAAAATTGAAACCTACGAGAAAGTTTATGACAAACCCGATGACGCAGCCCAAGAATTTATCATTTAATATACGGTAATATTTGATTTTGATCTTCCCTGAACCAGAATTTCAATATAATTTCTGGGTTTCGGAAATTTAAAATATCATCCTGAATATTTCATTGAGAAATATTGCTTTAAATCAACTAGATCTAATGTACTTTTATAGAACTAGAATTAGAAATTAAAAAATGTGAAATTATGAAAATTTTAAAAAATGCCCTTCTTACAAATTATCCCAATTGCGCCACTGCTTAGCTGTGACCAAATACAGATAAACTGAATGTATTTCCTGCCGGAATTGCGGTGTTGAGAACGATTCCTTCCTTGTCTTTCGCCTGAGAATGTTCATATATTGAAACACAATTAAATAATTCGCACAAAATTTAATACCGTCTAATACATAATAACAGGGTGGTTATTTTAATAGCAATGATTAGACCATTCTGAACCTCTTTAATGTTAGATAATCAGCTTAATATATTGTATTCCTATTCCCCAAATATGGTGGTAGGTGATTATATCAATTTTTTTATTCAAGTTCAAATTGTTAACAAGCTTCTTCAAATTATATAACTTTATAACAAGTAATTAAGAATAAGATTTTTTAATTGACCGCTTCTCTTTGTTACCATGTTTTTGTGTATCCAGGCTGTTTAAAAGCTTGATATAAATCAAAATTTAGATCGAAAGTCGTCTTTATAATACTAATATAATCACCTATCACCGCATATAAACAACCCCTTTCTTTTTTATATATACAATTTGTGTCTTCTAAGATTAAATTAAAATGAGAAGAAGAATATTTAATTAATGTTATTCAAGAATATATTGTTACATTTACTAAGCTGACAATAACATGTTAATTGCATATGCAGCTTGGCCTTTAACTTGATCTAGCATTGGCACAACAGATGTTTTAAGAGGGGGAAGTTTAAAAAATTCTCAAATTTTAATTATAATTCTAAGGAAAATTGTGGATAATTATAAAGACATTTTAACTGCGACGATATGAAGATTCATCTTTATACGTTCATGCACTAAGCAGTGTGAACCAAAAAAACTGTGAAAGACGACAGGGGCATAACTAGGAATTTTTCCAGGGGGGGCTTAATTTTTTTTCTTTCCAGGGGTGGGTTTAGCACCTAAAAAACCCATGAAATTCATAGATTTCACTGGTACAGGGGGGGGGGCTTAGGCCCAATAAACCCGCCCTGACTACGCCTCTAAAGGACGACTCCTGGACTTGAGTAATGTTTTTAAATAGTCTAATGAACCAGAGACTCAGTAGTTGTTCAGTGTGCACAGACCATTTCACTTAATAAGCTACTTTTAAGCAATAACGTAAAAACTTTTTATTTTCTAACAACACATTTTAATGTTTCTTTAATGGCGTTTTTCTATTCTCAAACTTTCTGGTTCTCACGGTATTACGAATAAACTTATATTTTTTAAGTCTTGGGAGAGAATAAATGCTTTTAATAATTTCTTTAACATATTTTTAATGGCATGAATCATAGTTTTTTTTTCTGAATTAAGAACTTGCAGAAGTTAGAAGCTAAGAAGTACAAAAGTACGAAACTTCATGTCAGTGGTCATCTCAGTTTCAAAACAACCTTGATTTTTGACCTTGAAGGTTGGGATTGTTCATTATACATACCATAGCACAAGAGAAACCTCAAACATTTCTCTCTAATGTGGGAAATGACCTGATTTACACACTTGAACTTGACATGAACCTTATAAACCTGCGCGCATACTTTCTTCTAACATTTCTTAACATCTTATATTCCCCACTCAGTAAATCTATTTATAGATCAACATTGTATTGTTTCTAATGATTTGCAGCGTTGTGAGATCCGCTTGGAGAAATTTGGGGGGTATTTGGATTGGGTGAGGTGTGCGGGGGATGGAATTCTTTGCAACTCCTAACCTTTTTAAGCGAAAAAAAATCACTTACTCAAATTCCCAAGATATCTATCTAGCTTGGGAACCCAGCGTTGCCCCAGTTTACTAAAAGTTACTCCCGCCGTTTACCCGCACTTGCGTATTATTTACGGTTTTAGCTATTTTTCCAAATAAAATCGACCCACTCAACTTATAATCTGAAAACCAAGCAAACAACATTTCCGTGGGTCTCACGAGTTCCCCAATCACAATTTTAGGCAAATCCGTCCCGCCTGAGTTATGATCGGACAAACATACAGACATATAAATCTATATATATAAAGTTGTAATCTCTGTTTGTCAGTCTGTTTGTTTGTTCAATCATAATTCAGGAAAAACGTTGTTATTGCAATTTAATCACACCTAACAGCCATCATTTTGTAAAGGGGTTTTGATTGCTCCGTTAGAATTGAATTTCTAAGCTTCGAAAACTTACAAACTTTTATTAAAACTATTTAAGGTTTGTTCGGACTACACAGCTTGGACAGGGAACACAGAGGAGACCAGAAATTATCGACGACGAAAGAATCTATAACAAAGTTGTTGGCGCGAAGCTCGGTGAATTGTTCAGAAATGGCCCTGACCGGATACCTGGACCCTATACACCGTAAGAATTTAATAATACAGATATCTATAATACAGTAGTAAAAGATATCATTATTTATAAACTCATAATAATACTGAACACATGTCACAAACTATAATTTTCGCATCCCATATAATTCTGCAAAATGATGTTGTAACCCTTGGTTTAAATTTTGACACTTTGATCTAGCAGAATTCATGGTTTGAAATATGAAAGGTTTACAACATCAGGTTGCACAGATATAAGGATTTAGAATTTAGAATTTCTCGGGTAAGCGTTCCTTTGATTTAGGCAAGGAAATCTGAGAAAATCTTCTAATAGAAGAAAAACCCAAAACGGTGAAGTTTCTAGTTCGCAAAATAGGGCATAAAGTATTCCATCATTTCAGAGTAATTGAAAGGTAAATATTTTCTTTTTATGTCGTATACGAACAAATGTGCAAATAAGGGCTTTGTAAGGGGAAGAATAGGGTGAGGTCAAAATTGAATGATTTATCAATCGAGATAAGGATTTTTTGCTTAGAGGGTGAAAACTTTGTGTTGGATCTCCATGGCTTAGTCAGAATTCCTTTTGGCTTAACCAGATATCTTCACGATAGTTAAACTTTAGCCGCAGAATTTATTCCAGATTTTGAGTTCAGTCTCTGAATTCCTATAGCTGGATATAATATAAAATTCCCAGCATAATTGCAGAATTTCTCAGGCCTCGGCTCAAAAATTGTTTTTTATCCGACCAAACCCAAATCCAATTCTTGCTATAAATAGAATTCAAGTAAAATGCTTAAAATTAAAATATTTAAATTTTTTCACAAAGATTTGTCAATGAAACCTAAGACTGAATAAAGCCTTGTACTGTTGTAATATTTTATTTATTTTAGGATGTAGAAGACTGATAAAAGCTGATTTTTTTATTTCTCCAGTACAAGAGTATTTAAGTTTTTACTTGTTTAGATGAACATTTTAACGTAAAAATATCGAATATGAATAAAGATAATGTAGTTTTATTTTGTATTCCTTTTCTTTATTTCTAGAAGTTGAAGTTATTCATTTCTAATAAGTTCACTCCCTTTTGCATAAGATCAAATCTCCTCATTCCTATCTCTTAAAAAACTCAAAGGATTTGAATCTTTGCCACAAATTCAATTTTTGTAATCCCTATATCTTTGCAACCTGGTGGTACAGACCTTTGATATTTCAAACTCACATTATTTCATCTAATAGCTTTCATAGTTTGAAATATCAAAGGTCTACAACATTGGGTTGCGGCGATATTGAAATTAGAAAATCAGAGTTTGTGGCAAAAGCTCAATTCCTTTTCCAATCCTGAGTTTTATTAATTTTGGCTTTCTTATATTAACCAAAAAACATTTTTTAGAAAAATCGTTTACTAAATTGCAAATCATTTTGATAGCACTTAGTAAACCTGATAAGGTTGCAAGATCACCTATATTTCACTATAGATGCCACGTTATTATCTCAAGTTAAAACAAACAGATATGGATCACAGGGACTGTAGACATAATTTCAATTGACCCTTATGTGTAAAATCGATTTTCAGCATCCTCCTGACGTGGCGTTTATCATATTGATAACATTTATTACATATTAATAAATGTTTTTGTGATATTATTAGCACATATCCTGGCTGCCGGGGGGCAAATACGAGTCTGGATCAGAAGGTTATAAATGGGTAAACAGGCATGCACTCACCTGTTCGCTGCCGACACACAAGTAAACGCGTCTGTTGTTTAAACACAGATACTGGGTTACCTACAAAGGATGAGTCTTCAGAGACGATTGTACGGAAATATTACTATCTGTTCCCTTATATTTAGGTGCAACTGTAAATTTGTTTCTTTCCTTGTCAAATCATTTAAAGGCACAATTTACTTAATTTAAAAAACGTCATATTTAAGAGTTTCAAGTCGTCTTTACAGTCGCATATCCTTTGTGGGTAACCATGTATCCATTATATATTTCTAAATATTTCTAAAAAATATTTTGGCTGAAAATACGCATCAAGATTGAGTAATGCCGGAATAAAGGACAGCTACATGACTAGGGCTGGGCACGTTTCAACTTTATCTAGCCGTTTCGTTAACGGTTAGTTCCAACCGTTAAAAAATAAAAATTTCGGAAAGCCGTTAATTCTAAAGGTAAGAACGAAACGTTCGTTCCGTTCACGGCATTTCCATTTTTTTAACGGTGCAGCCGTTCACGGTTAGTTACAGTATTAACGGTTTAAGAAATCGCTAACAGCGCAAAGAGCCGAAAAAATCGTTAACTGTTTGAGAAATCGTTAACGGCACAGTCGTTAACTCTATATTACAGTATTAACGGTTTAAAAACGTCAACAGCATAGCCGTTAACGGTTTAATATAGTATTAACGGTTCCTGAAATCGTTAACGATCTTTTGTAGTATTAACGGCGTAAAACTTCCACAAAAATTCGAAGTTTTACAAATTTATAATTCCATCTCTAAACATTTGCTTTACTTATCTTATGCATAATTATTCCCCTATAAGGCTTGATTAAAGAAGAGTAAATAACAAAAAAAATATTTTTAAGTTTTAAAATGTGGCAGGTTTTTTAAATAAGGAACAAAGTTAATAAACCTAGGTGCAAGTTTTACTTTAATTGCATGTTGCTCAAGACAAAGCATTGTGAACTCAGTTTATTTACAACTTTGTTAACTGCAAATAGATTATCAAGTACAATAGGTGGCAACAGAGAAATGGATCAATTATACACGACGTCACAAGTGTCAAATATAACAAGGAAAACGAAATTTTCTCGCATTAGTTGACATGTTTTCCAAGATTAAATAAAAAAGTGTAAAAAACAGAAAATGAAGAACACAAAAAAGAAAACTTATTTTACTGTATAATAAGCACTTTATTGTAAAATTATCACTATTATTAATAATTTTGTCGGACACACAAACTGAGTTGACATTTGTGACGTCAGAATACAGCTGTACTGAGAGTGTACAAATTCTACGTTGCCATCTATTGTACTAGAATCTATTGGTTACCTGTATTTTTCACCATTAAAACAAAAATCCAGGTTTATAAATTTGTCAAACGCCGTAAGTGCTCAAATTCCCTGTCTTCTCTACATTCTCTACATTTTTCTTTTAACAGTCAATGCTTATAAAGATTAAATTATTTTTACTATTTTATTTCACTGGTAAAGATAAAACTAACATACAAACAAGCATACATTACCCCACTGTGACAATGTACAATACAATATTGTGAACAGTACGAACATAAGAGTTTGACAGTGTACAATAAAACTAAGTAAATAACAGAAAGGTTTAATTTTAATTTATCCAAAAAAAGCATCATTTGCTGAAACTACATCTAAATCTGAACCAGGAACTTTTCCATGTGGATAGAACGAAACAAACAAAAAGAGTCTAAACAGAAAAACAATACCAGACTTATCATCATCCATGTTTAATATAAAACTAGTTTTACTTGTTGACAATAATTTTCAAAAAAAAAATTATTTTCATGGACAAACTTTGTAAGGATCTGTTACCTGTTGAAAAATTCTGCTTCCCTTATTTCCATAGAAAAACTATAAAAGGATGCAGTTATAGAACCAAATGAAATACTACAAATAAACTCTGTGACAGAACACAATACAACCATATGACAGTGTACAGTGTAAGTTTTATTTATATTTAGAACTTTAACATATCATGTTATTTTAAACCGACTGGAATAAATTAACGAGAGATTCGCCTAATTAAGAAATAATTTAAATAGATTTAGTTGTAAAATTTAAAAAATTAAAAATTGCTTGGAAATTCCGTAGAAAGCCAAAATAATGTCGATAAAAGTAATCACATTAACTTTTGGCGCGATACATAAATGTAAAGAATTCAGAACAGTATTTGTGGTAATTGAACATAATTGCAAATGACGGCTTCATCAATGTAATTTTTTCATTTGTTCGAATTAATTGTTAAAAATGGGCAAACTGGTGATTTTTGAAATTTAACTTGGATTGAACATATTTTTTTTATGTTCATTTGTACGAACATATGTTCATTTGTTGTATGGGGAAAGTGGTGTATTTTAATAATTTAGTTCGATTGAACATTTTTTGCTTATTCATTATAAAATGTGTTTATTTGTACTAAATTTTATTTTATCCTCATTTTTTGCCTCAGTTCAAATATCATAGGGAGTTTCACTGCCTCTGCATAAGCAGCGAGAACCTAAAAACTCCGGAACAAGAAGACGACTTTTAGACTCATTTTATTATTTTAGTTAGTTCAATAAACATTAGACACAGCAAATATCTCAGTAAAAACATATTCTTTTCGCGGAATAATTGATTTAATAAGTAAATCTTCGCCCATTTGCTTTGTAACAACAACAATTACAGTAAAATTTCGTCTTCATATTCCATAGTTTTTTGGTTCTCATTGTATTGTACAGGAGATTTTCTCTATCTATCCGTTATAGCAGAGTGTATTTGAGATTTTATAGGCATTTCTTTGCTTTAAGGTTTATAGTTTCATGGTGGATAGTCAACATTATACTGGCCCAATGTATAACTTTCAGGGAAACCTTCTGAACCCTTTCTAGGGTCTCATTAATCCTGTGCATTGGTTAAAGATGATCTCCAAACCGCACGACCAGAGATGGGCGGCGGGCGCGTTCGTTTTTTTCTCACTTTTTTCATTCAATGTTGGTCAATTTCGTTAGTTTTTTTTCTGTCTTTCAGAAAATATTTTAATTGGTTCGTCTTCAAAATTATAGGACTTTTACACCTTTTTTGTTTGTTTTCTAACTTAACGTTCGTTCAATTAAATCGTTCGTTGAGTGAGATTCGTGAGATCGTTCATAAAGTAAAATCGTTTGTTGAATGAAATCGATAAGTAAATCAACGATAGTTTTTTTTTCAAAAGTTCGTTTATATTTATAATGTAACTCTTTTAATACATTATGTGGACAGTCTCATGAAACAGATGTCAAATAAAACATTTTATCAAGTTTTTAAAAACAAATTAAGAAGATATTATGATGTTCTCAAAACATGCTAGCATGTCGCATCTTCTTTGGACAAAAATCTTCACTTGCAAATCGTAGGCTAGATCATTTTTTACTTAACTTTTACCATGTTTTATCAAAAAATCGTACTGGTAGCTAGAGCCTAATTTTTGGACCAAAATTTACGATTTGGATATTATTACTATTTGAACATATCTGATCAAATTGTGTGAACCAGAGCCTTAAATCATTCTCGTAGCAAATTTTATTCAAGCTTGAAGTTTTGGAATTCCTCTGATTCAAAATAATAAATTTTTCTAAATAAGTAAACAAAAATCTGATCTTCTATACATATATTAATTCTGACAGTATAAACAAATAACAAAATATTACATCTCTTTATTATAAATGCTCACAAAAGAACATTTTAATTACTACAGCGTTCAATGTAGCCACCTCTCTTGTTCTAGCTGGTGCAAGCTATTTGGTCCGTGGGTGTAAACTTTGGATTTAAGATAAGAAAGGTTAGGTTAGGCTGGGGTGGGTTAGGTTAGAAAGAAAATTATTTTGTATCAGAGGAATTCCTAAACTTCACATTTATACAGAATTAGCTGCGAGAATAATTAAAGGCATATTATATAGGATAAAAGAGAAGAGAAGAAAAAAATTAAACGAATGAAACGAAAAGTGAAAAATAAGTATCAAGTAGCATGTGTTAGAAGTCATTTTTCTTCAAATTTTAAAAAGTGTCTGGAAATAATGATTTGGAAATTTTTATCTGTAAGTGAAAATGTTAGGTTAAAACCATTTCTAATATTTTGAGAATAGAGTAAAAAATCTTTCCCCTTCTTTTGATAAGTTCATAAGCTCAACCATCTGAGACAAATTAAAATTAAAGATCGAATTTCTTTGAACTCATACTCCAACTTGTCTGTGTTGTTTTATAAAAGGAATTGAGTTTTTGCAACAAACACACATTTTCTAATTATTATAT